AGTGTGAGAGAGAGAGAGAGAGAGAGAGAGAGAGAGAGAGAGTGAGAGGGAGAGAGAGAGAATGATCGAGATAAGTGAATAATAAAGGCAGAATGGTGGAGAAGAGTAGATAGAGGTAGAGATTGAGATTGAGATAGAAAAAGAGAGGAAGACAATGAGAGAGATAGAGTTAACGAGGGAAGTGAGTAAGAGAGCTAAAAGTAGGTACGGTGATAGATTGACAAAGAGATAGAAACATGAAAAGAAAGAAACCGAGATTGAATGAGAGAAACAGAAAATGTAGAGGGAGTTAGCGCTGTTAGAATAGTATATAGTATAGAATAGAGTTAGCGGTAGTTAGAACCAATTGAGTAAAATAAGTGAGTAGTGAGAGAAATAGAAATAAATGAATAAATTAAATGAGACATATAGAGTGACATATAGATTTACAAGGATGTTTCGAAAATAACATTCATATAATTCATTCCTTATCCATTAAATGAAAGGAAATTTTGTGTACGAACAGGAAAGTTGTTGACGTCAAAACCGGCCTGAAATGATAATTATTGGAATTAATTTGGATACTTACTGCTCTCCTAAAGATAAAACTCACTTAAGCATAAAAGTGGTTTTTTTAAGACATTATTGATCAAAATATATTCAATCAGGTCTCATGTAAATCACCATTTCATTTATGCACGAATGCAAAAGCCATGCGATTTTTAGCTCATTTGAACGACTTTTTTTATCCAGCTAGGTCAGATTTACTTATTATATGAATAAATTTGTCATTGTGAATGTATGTATTTTCAATAATAATGTTAGACCGAAAAATATGACATGTCACTATTCAAAATCTCGATTTTTCTTTTTCATCTAATCTAGTAGGGCCAGGACTTATACATCTGGATTGTCTCAGAACATTCTTCTCAGACGTTTATGCATTTATTTTTTAGGTAAATTCTTCAAGACAAAATTTACAACCAGTGTTAACTTCTAGCAGTTAAATAATAAAATATTAACTCCCTTCGTTGTAAAAGCTTCCGTTTATCGTTGGCAGTAAACAATCCCGTGAATTTGTGGGAGGTAGCAGGTGGCAGACTGCATTATAGCCTCTATTTGCATTCGAAGTCGAACTCCACCTCGGAACTTAAATTATTGCCGTTTTATTTTACGGTTTCACCCGGTTGCCACTACTTTCCGACTTTTGAACCTTTTGTGCGTCAAATTGAGACGTCCACTGTTTGCAATTCCCCATTATTTTAACGTCGATAGTCATTGAAGGAAGGGAATAGTGTCAAAAGTCAGACGTAGGTTGAATTTTGTTTCTCAGACTGTTCAAAACCCTAAAACCCAAAAAATGTCCTGTTAATACAGGGATAATTCCCGGATTGTTCTCGTTCCTTCCTTAAAACAATTCCAGTAATACGACAGGACATAAAGGTCTTATAAAATATAACAAAATCTCTCTCATTTTCTTTCTCTCGCTCTCTCTCACTTTATCTCTCTTCGATCATTCATGTAGGTACTTAAAATGCAATGAGAACCTTGAACTTTAGTTGAACTTATGTGTTAGCCAGTAAAGCGGAGCAAGATTCACGTAATCCACTGGCCTTCAATGGTAAAAGAAACATCATATTCCTTTATACTTGCCACAAAACCGGAATTTTCGATGAGAAGAAAATAAGGAATTAATAGTAGACAGCGTACCGGCGCCGTTTTCTCACTAAGACTGACGATAATCTCTTACCTTTATCAGGATAATCAGTTATTACCGTAATTACCGGCTAGACGCGGAAAGAAATGGTGTTCGGCACATATATTAATACGGTACCATTTTTTCTAAAATTACACAGCGGCGGGGCGACGATAGTCCATAAATAATGAAGCTTGCAAAACAGCTGGAAAATTGCGATTTTGTTTAGGGAAGGGATTTATTATCAATAATAAAGTGATTCCCAGGTTGATGCTGTCAGAGGTATCAATAAAAGGTGATTCTGTTGACGACATAAAATTATTATTCAAGTTGGGTTGTCTAGGTAATCATGGAAATCTTTTGAAATGGATTCGTTCTTATATGCATGGTAGATAAATGTCGGTTCTTTTTCGTGATGAGTTTTACTAAGATAAGATTGCGACTTCACACGTTCTCCAGGGTTCCCACCTCGGTCCAATACTGTTTATACTTTATTTTATAAATCTCCTTAATTTTACTTGTCTTCCTAAGTTTCACTTTCACCTACCTTTTACTGATGATGGTAAAATATCTGAGGTGCGAAACTATAGTAATTTCATATTCTGTAGGATGATTTGTGGTGGTGCTCAACGAATGACTGTATTGTTGCTTTTAAGCGCAATTAGCTTTAGTCGTTCAAAATGTATATTGAATTTGGTTATAATATATTTAGTCAGATTATATCTCGTGTTAACAATAACTGTGATTTTGGTGTCCTTTTGGATAAGAGTTTTTCTTTTTCTGTACATGTTCGCTCGGTGTATTCCGAACTTTTTAGAATGATTGGTTTCATCCTTAAAAACTGGTGACGGCAAGAGTGCAGGAGTTGTTAAAAGTTATTTGAAGGCCGTAAGATGCGGCCTGGTGTGACGTAGGTTTTAGAAAAACATTTTCTTTATCGTGCCAACGTTTCAATCTTTATGAGATCATCTTCAGGGCTCACAGTGTTTGTTTTTCTCTGTAATTGTGTTTCAGTTTTGCCTTTTGATGCTCCCAACACGACAGACAAGAATGATACATCTACACGGAAAACAAACACTTTGAGCCCTGAAGATGATCTCAATAAAGATCGAAACGTTGGCACGATAAAGAAAATGTTTTTCTAAAACCTACGTCACAACAGACCGCATCTCACGACCTCCAAGTAATCATCAAGTAACGGTCAGTAAACCCCACACAGTTTTTGAAAGGTTTTATTTTGCAATAGGACAGATTAATAAGGATTATGCCAGTCTTGTCATCTTATGTAATAGGTAGTACTTTGCAACTTTATTTTTGTATTGAAAACAGCAATACAAATTATAAAATAAACTTTGTATTTAAATAAGACATTTCATTAATTCATTCAAACATTCATTAACGTTATCTCTCCGCTGATACGTACTACCTCGATGAGCATGCTGAACATTTCCCATTTCTTGAAAAATCATCACAGCTTACCCCTGGACAAACTTATTGTTAACTAATATCAAACTTTGCGCTAAAAAATGAAACACACGAAATATATATACAGGGTGAATTGCTACTCGTGCTACAAACTTCTCCAGTAGATTCTTCACCCTAAAATGAACAAAAAAGTTCATATTGTCCATGGTCCGATTCTCAACCATTTCAGAGTAATTTCGCTTTTTATCGATTTTGAAAGATATCACGTCCTGGCGTCGGAAAATCGTGATATCTTTTAATCTAAACATTTCTCT